CAGACGGAATGACAAAGTTAATAAATAAATTTCCTAGGTGGAGGGTATAAAAAGGGCATGGTTTCAGGGATACCATTTTGTGTATTATGCAGAAAAATCGTAAATTTTGATGGCAATCCTTAAGAATGAACATTTCAGCCAATCAGATTCCGAGAATATTGGTATAGTATAAAGTTTTTGAAGAGAACGTCATTCGTCATAATTTCTGCTATCAATAAACCCACATACGGGCGACTGTGTGGAAGTTTCTGCAACATGTAGAACTCTGTGATTTCTTAGTTGAAAATGTGCTTTCCTTGCAATATTTTGTTATGGTGATTTTTGGGAAAGGCAAGAGCTTATTGTGATTCTCGTTCATTTGTGAATGCTTGACACATGCTTTTTACAAAGGTGTCATATGAAAAAGCTGAAAAAGCCAAGTGATCTTTTCCTTCGCCGGGATCAAATAATGATATTCGTGGCAATAGCAACGCTCTTAGTTTTGTTTTTAAAAAACATTGCTCTCTGTAATAGAGAGTAATATATAGTTAAGTCAATGAGGAGAATACTCTAGACTTAAGAAATCAAATATTTAATTTTTAAAACGGATAATTACCTGAAGGGGTGGACTGATCTTTCCCATCTCCATACTCTATCTAAGAGTCGTAAAATTATTCCTATGTGTCAGAGTTGGACTAAATCGTATAATCGACTCGAGAGTATCAGAAACACCTGCCGAACAAACCGACTGGTGGATGGACATGGCTCCATGTGTTCTGAAGCTGATTGCAGCCAAAACCGAACTGGGGTGAGGTATATTTTGATGAGGCACATTTTGGCCGTATTAATTGATAAGGTGCCATTAAGCTTAAGGGCGGAAATATTCGCAATGCTGAATCAGAACATCTTTAAAAATGTTATTGGTCTTTTGATAAATTCCTCAAAAAACCCACAATTAAAGACTAAAAATCCTATAGAATGAGGTTAAAAGTAAACAGTTGATAGAAATTGGCCTTCAGACAAAGTTCATTCATTTAAACATATTTTAATTTCCGTTAAGATGATGCAAACTCTTGATAACTCGTGGCTGAAGTTCCGAAGGACTTATCCAATATTGTCTATTTCGTATTTGTTAGAAATATTGAAAGGTGACAAATTTAGACAATATCAACTACTTTATTCGCTTTCTATAAGATAATTTTTGAAAAATGTGAGGTAGCAGATATAGTGGACCGAAGTATTTCGCTTCATCTAATACTGATACAAATGTTTGGGATGTGCCAAATTTCAAAAAATTCGAGCATTTGTAAATGATTTTGACAATTTTTGCCAATTTTTTTGGCGAAAAGGAAAAAATCTAAAAAAATCGCCAATAAAAATGTGAATATCCTTTTTTAAATTTTGTGATATTTTTTTTTTTAATTTTTTTTTTTTTTTGAAGATTTTCGCAAAATATTTAGGATTCGAAATTGAACAAAATTTTGCCATTATCCTCATATTCAAATTTTTCTAATATATTATAGTACTGTACGTGCTTCTATACCGTTTGCTTACCTAAAATGTAAACATTTTGTGGGGAAGGTTCGAGAAAATTGGACCGATTAATTGCATATTCAAATCAGTTCCCTGGTTGAGAGCAATAGTTAGCTTTATCAAGTTTTCAAAAAAATCTGTGACTTGTGTTGCAAGTTATGAGAGATATAAATATTGAAAATGGTAACCCCTTGTGAGGGATGTACCCCTTGTGAGGGATGTGTCTAAGTGAATCCGTTCTTGGTAGATTAGTAGAAATATTTAGAATTGCTAAATTTGAAGACTATCTGAATCTTATTTCACATTACATAAGATTTATAATTATTCCAAAATTTCACCCTTTGTGGGAGAAGTAATATTGTCAATTTTCGCAGCTGACCTAGCACTGATAAAAATGTTAGGACTTGTTAGGTTTGGATGATTCTTTCTTCGTCTATAAGGTAAAATATTTTATGTGCAAATATTATTACAATCTACCAAGTTTGGTTCAAATCGGTACTCCCTTCGAGAATTATCGTGCGCAACAGCCAACCAGACAGATGGACTCACCATAAACCAACTCTAACAGCCTGTTTTTGTAACAAAAAAATTACTTTCACTCGAAACGTTCGTATGTAAACGGCCTTGTTCCAAAGAGACCCGTTATTTCGATCAGGCCATCTTTAAAAAAGATGAAGCTCATTTTTTAAAAATTCCAAATTATCGGTATAGAAAAATAATAGAAACAATTCAGGATAAGAAAAATATTCCTTAAAAATTCAAATGCCACGATTTTTCGCGGCACAGACCTCTTGAAAAATGACAACAAATCCATGAATGTTGACATCAATCCCTCTGAAAAAAAAACATTCTTCATAATCCACTATTATGCTTCTGATATTTTTTATACAAATATTCTTCTAAATTCTGGTGCCTCTTCAGATATACAGACATAAACGATAATTGGTTTGACCATCCTTTTCAAAGGTGTTCTGTAAAAATCGAAGGAAAATAATCGTTTATCTGCTAGGAAAATATTCTTTAAAATTCCTTAGGCGCATGGAAGGCCTTTTGAAGGGCTTCTGAGTATGGACGACCCTTTGAGAGTCTCATTTTGTGTATAGAAGACTTGTTTAAAGTCTTCTGAATATTGAAGATCCTTTGAAGGTATTTTGTGTATAGAATACCCCTATAGCAGGCTTTTGAAGATCGTGGGTGTATAGAACACCCTTTGAGTGGTTTCTCTGTGTATAAGACCCTTTGGAAGTCTTCTCTGTATAGAAGACACTTTGAATGGATTTTGAAAGGTGTTATATCCCTTAGACGACTTTTAGAACTATGCGAGGAGTGTGCGATGAATAATCGTAGAAATTAAAAATAATTTAAGAAATCCGAGTTCTTTACAAGTTTTTATAGCTAGAAAAGAGTAAAGTTTTGAAATTCCACTTGAAAGTGGAGATATAGCAGAGCCAGAGTCAGAGGTACCTCCAAAAATTTAGATGTGTATCCTTTGATCGGTTATAGATACACAAATAAAAATCTTTAATTTGTTATGCCCTCCACTATTCTATTAGCTTTGTCATTCCGTTTGTAACTCCTCGAAATATTCATGATAGACCCTACACAGTATATACATTCCGAATCAGCGTAAAATTCTCAGACGGATTAGCGATGTCTTTCGAACGAATTGAGATAAAAGGCTATAATTTTGCATTTGCAGGCAGGTTACGTTTTCGTATAGCCCCAATATATCGATACCTCCCGATATTCGATATTTTCACGATTTTTGCGACATTATTCACCAGAATCGTATCAAATTTCATATTTGAAGTTCGTAGTGGGTACCACAGCATGTGACAAAAATGTTTGTATGCAGGTCTACGTCTTTGTATAGCCCCATGTAACGGTAACTCCCGATATTCGATATTTTAATGATTGTTGCGACATTCACCGGAATTGTTACAAATTTCGTATTTAAAATTCCTTCCAAATAGAGGACTGCGGCTCTGCTGGTCTTTTAAAAAAATTATTGATTTAAAAATATTCCTCAAAAATCCACGATCTGTTACTTAGTTGGAAAATATTCCTAAAAATTCAGAATAATTGCTTTCAAAATACTCTATAAACATCCACCATTTGAGGTCAGGTTGCATTTAATTATTAAATGATCTTATTCAATGTTGGCTATCCTCTAAAGTTTTTATGTAATATTTTAAATCTTTGGCAGAATCCCACCTAAAATATTGTTGTTGCATTTATTTATTAAATGATCTTATTCAATGTTGGCTATCCTCTATAGTTTTTATGTAATATTTTAAATCTATGGCAGAATTCCACCTAAAATATTGTTGCGAGCTTTCACAGGCAGTTGAAAAAAATATTCTTTGTTGGACTTATATTCTGCGTAGATTTCTGTTAAACTTTTTGTTCCTTTATAACCAAAATTGTACAGTTGCAACAATTCTTAAGAACCGTTCTCCTTGATTCATAATCCTTTAAAGGGCATTTGCAATATTCCTTCCTTGCATTATTTCCAATTTACTTTTGCATAAACTAGACTTTAATTTTCCGTATTATTGTTATATTCTTCTATTGCCCAGCTCGCCTGCTGCCTGGATGGCTGCTGCCTAAAGGCTAACGGCATAAATCCTCAAAAAAAAAAAAAATGAAATCGAAATCTACAAAGCGTTAATAACAATAATAACAAGAACAACAATCAACTGGCAATTGCATTTTTGGCCATTACGAAACATTGCTGCTATCTGCAGCAATTTTTGCTATGCATGTCTGCCTGATTGTCTGGCTGGCCGCCCGTTTGGCATTCTCCCTCTCTGCCATTTTTCTCTCTGCATTTGCATTTACTTTTTCAACAATCATGGACAAATTGTGTGCACGGACCACAACAATACCGCACAATAATGGTTACATGACACAATTCCCTGTCATACAGCCCCGCTCCTCCCTCATTCCCCTCCCTTGTGTCCTTGTGTTTCTTATTACCAAATTTCCTCTCCCCAGAAAATAAAGTTAGCTCATAACAAACTGGTCAGCAACATTGGCTCAAAACCGAATGTTGTAATGCATGAATTGAATGTCTCAAGTTGTGTGTGTGTTCGAGTGCGTGTGTGTGTGAGTGTTTGTGTGTTGTTGGTGGTGGTGTTGCTGATGGTGGTCAATGCGGTATTTCCCATTTTTTTCTGAGTTTTTTTTTTCTTGGCCACAAAATGAAATAAAAATTGTTAAAATAATGCCATGAAATGCAATTCGAAATGCATTAAATTCATTTCATTTTGTAACTCTTTTGTTCGTTTGTTTCCCAACCTCTCCATTCAGGCTTGTTATTGCCTCGGGGTTAGTTAATAGAGTTTTCTTTTTGTATATGCAATCTGAAAAGTTTTTTTATTGTTGTTTTTCTGTATATATAGCAAATTTATTTAATGCAGTTAAATTTGTTTTGAAATTGAATTATAAAAAAATTATTGAATTTATTTTTTGTTGTTTGTTTCCAGGTCATACCCACCAGCTGACGCCTTTTATCCGCCACTGGGAGGCGGCACATTTTGATCGCTCAGATCTACATGCAGCCCATCAAAAGCATATCGAACAGAAACGCCATCGCCGGAAAAGAGACTTAAATGCCGGCGAATATGGACCGGCCCATACAATAAGACTGAACTTTTCTGCTCATGACAGGTAAGTGACCGAACAAGACAGGTATTCAAAATTTCTTCTTTATACAAAAATTGATTGAATTGAAGGATTTGGAAAACAGCTCTAAGAGGGGAAGATCCTTTGGGAGTTTCCAGTACGTAGAAGGCCCTTTGAAGGTCTTTTGGAGAGGTCTTCAGAAAGCTTTTAAAAAAGTGCAGAGGTCCTTCTGTGTGTGACAAGGTCTTCTAGATATGAAAGGCCCTTTGAAGGTCTTCTGGATGTGAGAAACCCTTTGAAAGCATTGGGACAGTTTAGAGGTATTTTCTGTGTGGATCCTTCATTAGCTAAATCCATAAGGCCTTTAGTGAGTCGGACTTAGAAAGCAAAGCACGTTGAGAGACACCAGTGCTTAGAATCGCCTTGAAGGTCTCGTGTGTGTAAGACTCTGGGAAGGTCTTCAAGATATAAAAGGCTGTTGAAGGCCTCTATGTAGATATGTAAGGTCCTTTGAAGGTCTTCGGGATACGGAAGACCCCTTAGAGGTCTTCTTTGTATAGAAAACCTCTAAAGGTCCTTTGTGTATAAGACTCTTTGAAGGTATTCCAGATATGGAAGGCCCTTTGAAGAACCTCTCTGTGTATAGAAGATACTTGGGAAGTTTTCTGACTATAGAATACGCTTTGAAGCTTTTCTCGATAGGAAAGGCCCTTTGAAAGTCTTTGGGATATATAATACAGTTTAGAGGTCTTTTGTGTGTCGATACTTCATCAGCTAAGTGCAGAAGGCCTTTAGTGAGTCCGACTTGGAAATCATGTACTAGAAAGCAAAGCACGTTGAGAGTCACCGGTGCTTAGAATCGCCTTAAAGGTCTTGTGTGTGGAAGACTGTGGGAAGGTCTTCAAGATATTAAATGGCTGCTGAAGGTCTTCTGGATATGGAAGGCCCCATATCCATCTTCTGTATATGGAAACCCCTTTTAAAGGTCCTTTGTGTATAGGACCCTTTGAAGGTATTCTAGATATGGAAGGCCCTTTGAGGGTCTTCTTTGTATAGAAGACTCTTTGGAAGACTTCTGGGTATAGAATACGCTTTGAAGCTTTTCTCGATAGGAAAGGCCTTTTGAAAGTCCTCCGGATGTGAAAGGTCTTTTGGAAAACCATTTGGACCCTAGAAAATCCATTAAAGGTCTTTTGGGTATAGAAGATCCTTTAACGGTATTCTATATATGGAGGGTCCTTTGAAGGTCTTCTATGTATAGAAGATCCTTTGAAAGTCTTTTTTGTATAGAAGACAATTTAAAGTTCTTCTGGGTACGGAAGTCCCTTGAAAGGTCTTCGGGCCATGAAAGTCTCTTTGAAACTAATAGAATCCTTTAAAGGACTTGTGTATATAGAATATCCTTTGAGGGTTCTCTGTGCATAGAAGAGACTTCGAAAGTCTTCTGTGCATAGTTTGAAGTTATTCAGGATATGAGAGGCCCTTTGAAGGTCTTGTGGATTTGGAAGCCCTCATTGGATTCTAGAAACCCCTTTAAACGTGTTCTACATATAGAAAAGCTTTCGAAGGTATTCTAGATATAGAAGGCCCTTTGCAGGTATCCGGGCTTTGAAAGGTTCTTTGGAATACCCTTTAGACCCTAAAAACTCCATTTAAGGACTTCTGTGTATAGATTATAATTTGAAGATATTCCAGATATGGAAGGTCCTTTGAAGAACCTCTATGTAAAGAAGTCCTTTGGAAGATATTCTGTGTAGTAAAGAGCCTCATAAGGTCTCCTAGATATAGAGAACCCTTTCAAGGTCTTCTGTGTGTGGAAGATCATTGGAAAGTTCTTTTAAGACTCTTTGTAGTTCTTCTGTGAAGAGAAGATCCTTTGAAGGTTATTTGTGTATCATTTACAGTATATATAAGATCCTTTGGATATCCTCTTGCATAGATGACCCTTTTGATGGTGATCTGTGCGTAGAAGGCTCTTTGAAAGTCGTCTGGACATGGAAGGCACATCGAACGTTTTCTCTGTATAGAAAACCCTTGGTAGTTTTCTAGATTTAGAAGGCCTTTTAAATGTTCTGTGTACATAAAAGACCTCGTGAAAGTCCTCCGTGTATTACAAGGCACCACGAAACGAAAATTAACGATATCGGCCCACTCCATCAAGTACCTCCCACACAGGGGTTAAAATTTTGAATAATATCAACTCTTATAAAATGTAATGTAAGGGTCCAAGTGTCTTAAAATTACACTCGTCACAATATTTGTATCAACCCAAGGTCTGGTGCGTAGATGGAATATATCGGTCCACTACTTCTGGTACCTCCCCCACAAAGGGTCAAAATTTTGAATATCCATAAATCACATAAAATGCCAAATTAGCATTCGATTTCATTCAGATTTAGTACATATTTCCATCTACACAAGATCTGGTATAAGGTTGGTAGAGATCGGACCATTTCTTCTGGTACCTCCCCCACGTGGAGTTCAAGATTGACAAAATTTAAATTAGTCTTCTTTTTGGAGGTCTTTCATATATAGAAGTTCTTTTAGCCTTTGAAAGGTCTTGCAGCTGTCGAAGCCCTTTAAACTCAGACGGAAATGTTTCTACAGGAGACCTTTGGAATACTTGTATTATATGGGGACCTTTCGAACCATGATATATACACTTAGTACATATTTCCATCTACACAAGATCTGGTATAAGGTTTGTAGAGACCGTACTCCCTCACGTGGAGTTCAAGATTGACAAAATTTAAATTAGTCTTATTTTTGGAGGTCTTTCATATATAGAAGTTCTTTTAGCCTTTGAAAGGTCTTGCAGCTGTCGAAGCCCTTTAAACTCAGACGGACATTTTTCTACAGGAGACCTTTGGAATACTTGTATTATATGGGAACCTTTCGAACTATGGTATAAATGTTTTTCTCACATTAACCCCCAATCTGAAAATCCTTTTCCACATTTTTCCTGCGGAATTACTTCTCAGTCATTCATTACCCTCTTCATATGTCCTCTCTAGCCAAAGATAGCTTGAAATTACCTACCCTTACTACAGTTCATTAAATATTAAAGATGTTAAGCGTATTTTCTTCCTCGATAATTTCGCTATTTATTCGAGCACCAACTATAAGAAGTAATTTTGCAATCGATTCTTCCCTTTCGTATTTGTGAAATAGGTTGAATGGATTTTATTGGAAAAATGGAAAAAAAAAACCCATTCTGATAAAAAATAGGAAAGAGCTCTGCTGCTATCGCACAATGATTTCCTGTATTAAGTCCCTTTTGTACGCAGGCAGACCCGCACACACACACTCCTCTACTTATGGATACACCCAACGAAGACTCATATGTAATCGACAAAGACTAGTACTGTAGGTCCTGGTCATAGAGAAAGTAGAAGTTGCAAGTATTGTATTGAGATTTTACCCGGCCAGAAGTTTGTTACATTGGCAATTGGTTTGACGTTGCTCCTACAAAACGGCTGTACTTATTGCGTTATACGTCCTTTGCCTTTCTTCGTCGTCGTCGTCGTCATCGTCGTCATAACATAAAAGTGAATGGATTTTCATTCTCCGTACATAAGCTTGCTTGTATTGAATTTACCGATGAGAGTTCGCACACACACACGCACACGCGATGCCGCCTAGCTATTGCGATAAGAGTCTTTGGCCATCTATACGAGGAGAATGTAAATGCGTGTGTGTTTGTGTGAAAAAGTGTGAGTTTTGTTATAAATGAATTTTGTACAACATGTGCAACACGACGAACTACATCCGGTGTGTAAAATCACTTGCAATCATACATACATGCACACACAAACACTCATACATACATATCAAGAGCTTTTAGCAACATGCACATGTATGTTTGTTTGTTTGTAAGCCGTTTTATTTTCCACCTAAGTGTATGGGTGTTGTGTCGGGGGTGTAGTAGGTGTGTGTGTCTGTGTTAAAACTCTATTTTATGCCTTTAAGCATTATGAAGTATTTACACTCACTCTCATATGCGAAGTGAACATTGGACACACAATACAAATAGGAGCCATTCTATCCATAACAGCAACAACTACGGTCGGAAAAAAATTGGAATACCAAATGTGGGAATATATTGTGCAGAGTATAAAGCGGTAGGATACGTAACTCTGCTGCATGGTCAGGATATGGCCAGTGTTGCCTTTAGGCAATTTTCAGAAATGCGGTGTTGGGTGGAGAGTCTTAAATTTACCAATTTTCAATGGGTGTATAATCTTTAATGGATTGAGTATTAGTGGTAGAACTCTTTAGACATTTTTTTCATTTTTATAAATTTTTTTAAGAAGAGAAATGTATATGGAACTATCTCGTAATTGCATCTAAAAGGGGAGATAAATGGTGAAATTCAGTTTGGAGTAGAAAAGATGTATAGACTTAGACAATTTAGGAAGCCCCCTCTTTGTATAAAATAAACAGACGGTATTCTTAATTTTATTTGTAGATGCCATGCCTCGATTTAATAATTTTCTAGTAATAGCTGAATTACTTATAATAATAGCCAACAATTTGAAACTATTGCAACTTATTTTAAAGAGTCTTCCGCAGACAGACAGTTCTCAAAAGCCATCTATAGACGATAAGCCTTGAAATTGTCTTCCATAGATATCGGACCTTGAAATGGGTTTTTTTACAGTTTGAAAATCTTCTAAGTTTCTCCCAAAGAAGAATACCAGCAACAACAATCATTCGTCGAATGACTCAATAGGTCAAACTACCAATGGGTGGCAGGCTTATCCGGTGGAGACAACCAACATGTGGGAGTCAATTTAAAAGTCGAAGAGCAGTGTCGATTTTTGAGCTCCTCCTTCACTTTTTACCTTTATTTCGATTTCAATTTAGTTCTTTTTGTAATTTTGCCAACACTTGATAAGATCGGACTTTTGACTGTGGTGGGTAATATTAAAAAAATCAAAACAGGAAACACATTTATCCTGAAAATTGATTACGAAAACTCGAATCTGCGTTTTTTGTCTAAGGCAAAAGTATAATTATGCTTTTCTATGTAAATCAAAACTCGA